TTTGAGTCTTGTTTTTTTAACTGGAATTACTGCTATTACATGAAGCGGGCAAGGAATTTGTATTATATTAAAGTAACTGTCTTTTTTAGACACATTTGCATATTAAGTGTGGGAGTATTCATTAGCTCCCATTTGTTTGCCTGCTGTTTTCCTACTGGTTTTCTCAACTTAACCTTAAAAGCAAGAGTAGTGAAAGAGTACCTTCGTAAATAGCCAATGGCTTTGGACTCTGAGGTATGGTGCCTAGAGAGAGGGTGGAAATTTGAAAGCCTTTCCCCGGGGTAAGCCTGGGCATCACTTGTGTATCTCAGCTAGTAGTACAGAGAGAAGTGAGTCAGTCTGAGATGTTCATATGAAATCTTCCCCATTTTTAAGAGGTCAATAATTAGATTGCAGCTTTTGTTTGCATTTTTCTTTCAAGAGCTAAAACTTTTTTCAAACTTAGACTGCCCAAACACTGCATGTGTATTTTAAGTTCTATCCTCTAAATACTATGTGATCAAATTTACTAAAAGAGGAGATAAAAAGTTACTCCCTTGGAACAGGGAACCATCACATTTTGAAACTATACTATGTACTTGGCTTACTTTGGAACAATTTAAAGTGGCCTGTGGAGTTGTGACAAGTGAAAGCCACCCATCTGCTTAAGGGGAAAAAATGTAGATATTTAGGCCAAATTGTCATTAAACATACTTCTTAGAGAATTTTCTACTTGTACAAATATGGATTTACAGTTGTTAGTATCATAAGAGAATAACCCCATCATTATGCTGGCTTTATATATGCTTATCTTTTTAAAAGAGGAGGACAAAAAGTCAAAATAATTTTTTGAGATATAGCCAATTTAGAAGTTTGTGGTGGTGGCTAAATAATCCAGGTAACTGTGTAAATGACTTGTAGTAGGTTTATGCATTTCAAGACAACTTCTGAGTTGTCTTTAATATTTAGTAAAAAAAGATTTTGCTTTAGTAATACTGCCCATAACTTAGGTGTATTACACAGATAATGTTCTGGGCCTTGACTAACAAGCAGGGTTCACAGCATGGTAAATACACCATCAGTTTTATAGCTCATATTGGTTTCCTCTGAGCGTGGTGTGTGAGTCGAGAGCTTTGACATAAGTGTGGGCAAAGGTAGTAAAGCTTTCCTATGGCTAGAGGTACACGTGCAGTTAGGTTTATTATAAAACATAACTTTTAAAAAATTAGAACATGACTATCTTTTGCACACTAACTTACAGTTGGTGTTCATATGCTGCTTACAATCGTGCCTAATTCATAAGTAAACTTTTATGCCACACAGGCATATTAAGTCAGGAAGGATTGATCGGGCTTCATTAATCTAAAGCCTATGGGAGGGCTGGGGAGATAGCTTAGCAGTCTGTCTACCTGGCAAGCACAAGGGCCTGGGTTCGATCCCCAGTACTGTATGCCATGCTGGTCCCAGAACCCCAAAGGTGCTGTTCTGACCACCGAGACCAGGTGTGGTGTTGCATGCCTGTAATCCCAGCACTGGAGAGGCTGAGACAGGAATCACTACAAGTCTGAGCTGTGTAGCGAGATCCTGTATCAAATAAATAAAAGACTTTAAGGAAGAGCTTATGGGGCGTAAAACTTCTTCAGATATAGAATATATATATGAATTTAACAGTTGTTTTATGGACCCAGGGAACAGCTCAATTTTAAAGATACTGGGCTTTATGTATAAAAGGTCCTAAAATTACA